GATGAAATTAGATACAGCACACAATGATAACTGGAATTGGGCCGCTCCAGGCAGAATCTACCTCTCCTAAATGCTCACCAGCTGTGCTCCCGGCCATAGCAACCAATACGCGAGCATATACGAAATGAAATAATTTCTGGCCTACCAGGAGTAGTTCTTGGCTGAGATCAAGGATGGCCAATCGGCAACCTCATTGCCTGGTTTTGCAAACAAAACCTAACTCAGCCACTTGTATACCTACTTTCATGCTATAGCTGAAGAATAGAGTTGCAATAGAATCATGTGACTCTGAACACCAGAGGCATTCATTATTTGTTTTTTCTTTTAATAGAAATGCTGGTGACCTCTGGCTCAGACTCATCAGCCAGGCTGGAATGACGTCAGCAAGTCAATGTAATGCCCACTGTTGCAGCTGACATCTTCCTTTTGTAGCCTACATTGCTTGTATCTGATCTCCCAGATATCTGGAAATTCCTTGCTGATTTAAGTTCCCTGAGGGCAAAGAAGTATCCTTTTACAATCACTGCTGATGTCATGTGCACATTCCCTAGCCAAGGGCTGGGCACAGTCCCATTACACCATAAAGGAAGCACATGAACACACAGCTTACTTATAGCCTTCTACACAGGAACAAAGCCATGTCTCTTACAGTATGCCAAGAGTAACAACATTTCCAAAACAGTATCGCATGAAAATGAACTGCACCCCACTATAAGGACAGTTCAATAATTCTCCAAGGCTTGGGGAGCAGATCTGTCCCTAGGTTGTCTCCTGGGAGAGCAGCAGGAATGAGCTCAATTCTCCAAAGAGGAGGAAGCAGGCCTCGGCTATCGCAAGCAGCCTGTGTGCCCTGAAGATGGACCCCAGCGCCGTCCTTACAGACTGCTCAATCACGAACTCACGCTGTGTGACTCATTAATCCCCGTCCCGGGTACCCTCCCATCTTGGCTCCATAGTTTGTAACTTCACTAATTCACTTAAGCCTAGCCTTCACCAGTTTTCAGGGAAATCGTAATACTTTTTGTTTTTCCATGACAGAAAACATGGGAAGTTACGTGGGATGGTCTTAGTGCTATTTCTGAGTGACAGATTCTCTTTGTTTGTTTTTATCTTCATAGGGGAGATAAGGAGAGATCAGACAACAAGCCAGCTGTCATCCACTGGTTCATTCCTCAACCACAGCAGCTGGGACTGGGTCAGGGCTGAAGCACAGAGCTGGCTGCTTAATCCAGGTCTCCCGTGGGGTGGCAGGAATCCAAGTTCCTGATCCATTGTGGTTGTCTCCCCAAGTGAGCAGGAAGCGGGGCTCCAAAGCTGAAGCCAGGATTCAAACCCAGACATTCGTAGGTGGGATTCCTGGCTTTCAACTGTTGGTTAAGCCGCGAGGCCAAACACACTACCCAGGTCTTCCTTCCAAAGGTGCCAGAGCTCACAAAACAACAATGGATCTGAGCGATGCTTTTGGGGGAATCTGGACCTCCTTTTATCTGTAGATGATGTGGCATCAATTTCCCCATAACTGAACATAAGAGCAGTTTAAAAGCAAAAGGGCGGAAATGAAAGAACTTTGGGACTGGCATTGTGATCCAATGAGTTTAGCCATGGCTTCTGTCTGGGTAACTCTGGTTTTCAAAATAAATGCATTTTAAAAAAAAATCATAACCACTTAGCTTTCATGAGGTTAATATAAACATAAGGAATTAGTACAAGTAGAATGGAAAGTTTTCTTTCAGCTTTAATTTGATCTTCAAATTGTTAACTGCAGTGCTGAAATAGCACAAAACATTGGTGACCAAAATTTCAGGAACAAGATCTGAGTTTCACTATAATCTGCTAATTAAAATAGCAACACACAATAACAGCAGATCACCAAGCACAGGACTTTAATCAAGTTGAGGCCTGTGTTAAACAGCTAGGAATGTCTCCAAAACTAGGGAAAGAAAAATACCAGGCAGTATTTTATAACATCGCACCTGAATCCAGCTGGCAGTCTCCCTTGTGCCAGCATTTCCCCCCTTCTCTACATTTAAGGCAATTACAAACTATTCCAGATGGAGGAGGAATAATCAAGCAAACTGAAATCTCTTACAGTTAAAAAAATATATATATACATATATATAAACTAATTAGTGCTTAGAACATAGTATTTTCTACTAAAAAAGCAATATTCTATTTTAGAAAATCAGGGTGGCTGGCAACCATTAAGTCAGATAAACAAAGTCTCACTTCCAAATTTCACTCACGAACATAGCATCTCTTCTATTTCCCCACAATATCTTAGAGAGGATTTATTTTTCCATACATATCCTGACATTAAAAAATAATTATTTGGAATAATATAAAGATACCATTAAATCAAATTCCTCAGGCATGTTCTTCGAGTGAAATATTTGGTGTGAAAAGTAGACATGGATGTTAGTAACTTGGTATGTGTTAACTGTCAGAAACCAATATAAAATCCATGAGATCATTTGGTTTGGCCCTGCCAAGGTAGCCACATATGGGACTTGAAATTCAATAAACCTATGGCAGGGACACTTGTTTAAAAGATTTATTTATTTTTATTGCAAAGTCAAATAGAGAGAGAAGGAGAGACAGATCTGTCCGCTGATTCACTCCCCAAGTGGCTGCAACAGCCGGAGTTGAGCCTGTCTGAAGTTGAATCAATCTCCCTTGTGGTGCAGGGTTCCAAGGCTTTGGGCTGTTCTCAACTGCTTTCCCAGGCCACAAGCAGGGAGCTGGATGGGAAGCGGGGCTGCCAGGATTAGAACCAGCGCCCTTATGGGATCCTGGTGTGTGCAAGGCAAGGACCTTAGCTACTAGGCCACCATGTCGGGTCCAGAAGGCTCACTTTTAAGTTTACATTTTTGAATGGTTTACAAATGATGTTGTAAATACACAAACAGTTGAAAAGTTTCCTTGTCCCTGAATGGTAGTGGAAAAGATATTTATCAGATTGTAATGATGGACTTCAGGACTAGCTACCCCCCAGGTAAGGCACACTGACATTTGAGAAACCAGAAAGGTTATGCTCACCTGCCCTTGCCCTCCCCTCTGCAGCAGGTTACAAAATCTAGGAGACTGATCTGATCTTCCCCTAAAGCAGTTCTAAGATCCTCATTTGAGAGATGCTCCCCTTTGCCTGGAGGAACATGTTTATCTCTCAAGACACAGGGACACCCACAGAACTGAACCAGGCTTTCCAAGTTTCCCCGGTTTATTACCACTAGGTCATTCTTTTGTACCCAATCATCCTTGTCCTCCCCACAACTATTCATCAAGTCTAACACAAAAATTATAGGGCATAGGGCTTGGGGGAGGGGAAGAAAGGTGTTTGGCTTGCCAGCTAGAATCGCCGCTTGGGACATCAGAATCCCATGTAGGAGTGCCTGGATTTGAATCCCAATTCTATTCCCTTCTCAGTTTCCTGCTGATATACACTGTGGAAGGGAGCAGGTGATAATACAACTGGTTGGGTCCCTATAACCATGTAAGAAACCTGGAGGAAGTTCCTTACTGCTAACTGTACAAGGCATTTGGGGGGAGTAAACAGACAGGAGATCTTCCTGTCTCTCAAGTTAGAGTAAGTATGCCTTCATTCATTTCATCATGTCTGCATTTCCTTATAAGATCTCCTATGCAAGGCCCAGCGCAATAGCCTAGTGGCTAAATCCTCACCTTGCATGTACTGGGGTCCCATATGGGCACTGGTTCCTGTCTCAGCTGCTCCACTTCCCATCCAGCTCCCTACTTGTGGCCTGGGAAATCAGTAGAGGATGGCTCAAAGCCTTGGAAGCCTGTACTTGCGTAGGAGACCCGGAACAAGCTCCCGGTTTAGGATTGTAGCTGCTTGGTGAATGAGCCAGCAGACTGAAGTTCTTTCTGTGCCTCCTTCACTCTGTAAGTCTGAATTTGCAATAAGAATAAATAAATCTGAAAAATAAACAAACAAAAACAAATGTTCCCCTAGGCAGTGGAAAAGTAAATGTGTTTATTTCTGTCTTGTTAATCTGCCTTTTGCTTTTAAGGCTTTAGACACAATTCTAGTGATGGATAAGAAAAAAAAATAGTTTGGCATAAATGTTTCAAGGGTTATTGCTATCTGATCTATTAATTCCAATTCCAGAAAAAAACACCTAAGAAAATGATCAAGCAGAAGAAACACTTGTATTCATTAAAGTTCTGATTACAATATGTCTTAAAAGAACAAAAACTAGAATAAACTAAATGCCCAACTAGAAAAAAAAGTGACGTATCACTCAGTATTGCAAATTAAAATGAATACAAAACATATACTACTCTCAAAAATGTTTAAACACTACAAAATAAATAGCATATACGATAGCTATTAGTAAAAAAAAAAAAAAGTACAGTACCTGGAATTTTCATGTGCGGGACATCGCTGTGCAGGACCCCAGCCACATGATCCTTTCTCAGTGTGTCCCTTGGCGGCTGGTCTGATGCCCTTTCTCCAGCCTTCCCTCGCTGCTCTGCTGTTCTTCACCCACCAGGTGCTTCTGTTTCCCCCTGCTCATCCAGGTATTTCCTTTTGTTTAAAACTCATTTCCACTCTAAACACTTCAGCACAGTGGTCCCTTAGGCTGAAGTGCAAATGTTTTGGATTCCTTTGCCCTTATTGCCAATTCCTTGCTTTATTTGCCCTGTCTTAGAGAGACTATGAATCCCACACAGCTGTTTTTAATACACGCAATGAATACTAAATATATAATTTTGAATGAATTAATCAGAACATAAGCTCTTGGGGACAGAGACATGTCTTATCTTTGCATCTTCCATGTTCATTACAGTTCTGTGCAAACAGATGACCAAAAATGACTTGCTCCATGAATGTGTATGTGAATGCATTTATTTGTCACACATGACTGCTGGCTACCATACCAGGATATATTCTTATTTCTTCTTGTTTCCAACTGGTGTTTCTTTAAAAAGCAGATCAAGTTCATTTTATAAAAGGAGTGTCATCTACAAAGAGGACTTACCCAAGTAAAATTGCCCAGAAATGTAGCCACAAGTTTGCCGGACTTCTTCACTGTCCCACCCCAAGGGGTACAGAGCACAGCCAGCACCAATCAACAAACCTGCAAAGAGATAAACGAGAGGGCTTTACCCACATACCTCTGCACCCCAAAATAAAGCTCTACTGTGGTGGGATTGAGATTTAGCAATACAAGACCGCAGTGTCCGTTTTGAGGGAAAGCACCAGCCACAATTCCCTTAAAAGCAATCCAAAGTCAATTTGATCCCAAGAACAATTTCAAGCTTGCTTAAAAGAGAAAAGAAGAAAAAAGTGATGGCTCGGTTTGGCTCCAACTTTGCCTTTTAAAACATAGAAAGCCTTGCAAATCCTGTTTAAGAAATAAAATCCAAAAGTTCTTTTAATCACTCTTTTACAAAGCCAACAAATTCCATCATGAATCCATGTAAACAAGTAATTTAAGACCATGCAAAAGATCCTAATAGGTTATTCTTCATCATTCATTATATGTTTTGGTTCCAGTTTAAGGATCAAAAGAGGCTGTTTCAGCATTGTTGAATTTTACCAGGGGCAGAAGGAACATAAAGATTTTTCATGAACCACTTGGGCACATTGGTTGAACTGGGAATGGTGCTGCCTGTTCTTGGGTTTGGTCGAGAAGTGCAGTGCATTCGTACTTCTCAGAAATGCTTTTGCAGACACAGAACATCATCTAAACACTCTTGATGTTCAAACAAAAAGATGCAATGATGAGCTGAAGAAGGCCATGGTTTTAACACAAATGAAGTCACTTTCACAGCACACTGGTCTGACAGGTTTCCACGGGTGAAGTCTCCAGCTTTTCCTCAGAGCCTAAAACAATCTTAGCAGCAGCTAAAGGAGACTGGAGCATTCACCATTTAAACCAGTAGGTTCAAATAAAAGTGAGATCTTGGCATCAATCAATGAGTATTGTCAACCCTGGCATCACCGATATACTCAGCCGATGGGACCAAAGCATACACAGTCGGACAGCTGAGAATGTGGGTTATCAGTGCATAGTGAGGGTATCCCCTCAATGAGAGAATCTACGGAAACAGTTAATGCAGGAGGGATGGCAGGACTCCAAATGCACTTGCAAAGGAGACTGAGAATTTCTGCTCTGAGTCCCTTTGTCCTACCAGTGGGGCTTTCATCTGGCAGGCAATTTTGAGTAGCTGTAATATGTACTCATGAATTTTTTTCACAGACATGATGAAGCTGCCTTCTATTCTCTCCACAGTCACAAAGCTGAGCCATAAGGACAGGCATCCCCCACACAGACCCCCATTTCCTATCCCGGTATGGTTCCCCCTGGTTCATCCCTTGGTCTGTGGGAAAACAGTCATCTACTGCAGAGGGGCCTCAGTCCCAGGCAATGCCAAGTAAAACTCACTGGAATTGCATTTAACTAACCCTAGTATGTCCCACAGGCAACTGTACACACACGAACTGTGGTAAAGCTGAAGACTAATCCAGAAAACAGAAATAACGAGGTTTTACAGACAAGACAGAGTCGGTCACAATGGCCGGTCACTTAGGGCATTTTCCCTCCCAACAGACTTAATAGTATGCGAAAACAACTCTGAACTACTTCTACCCATTATCAAATGCAGAGATAATTAACACGGATGCCAAATTTTGTGTAAATTGAATTCCATGAATGTTTAAAAAGCAATGTGATATCATTTCCATGATATTCAGTTCTAAAATTAAAAGGTAACACCTCTTCCTGAGATCTTCTCAGCAACTATTTTAAGATGAGAAACACCAAAAGGCATTTGAATGCAACAAAATGGAAAATAAGTTATATTTTCTCTTTTATGGGGAAAGAAATGATAAATTATTTATTAATATTATTTTCAGTATAGCTGAAAAGCTGATTTTGTATATACTTTGGTCTAGTATTATGCTGGCAACTTTGAGTTTATAAAAACCATTACATGAGGTGTTAGGGATTTGACCTGGCTCTCCAAACCACGCAGATGACTGAATCCCATAATCTTACACTGATGGTTAGTGCTGGATTAATGCTAACAACTGATACAGGAGAGGTCAGAAGATGAGGCCTCTGGGCAGGGACTGGATTGGATTAGGTTGCTAATGTGAGCCCAGGAAAGGAATTATGATGATCTTATAAGACGAGACGATACAGAAGGCAGAAGAGTGTTCCTCTGTGTCTCTCCACTGCCTGACTTCCCGTGCGCTGATTCCACTGAGCACACTCACCATCGCCAGCCTGCGTTAGGTGCCAGACCCAATCGTGACTCTCCAATCTGAAAGCCAAAATAAACTTTCTCTCCTAAGTAGATCCTCTTGGATATTTTAGTTAGAGGAATGCAAGGCTGACTAATGCATGAGGGCACTTCAGAAAGCTCATGGAAAAATTAAAAGAGAACTAAGTTTATCTTGGTGTTGGTACAAAAAAAAATAAAGCAAAAAAGCATAGCTTTTCATGTTATGTCTTTTTCATTAACTTTTCGAAGATCCCTCAAATGCATGAATTTCAAGATTATTTTGCACCAAAATAAACTTATCTTTCAATTCCACTTTCCTTGAACTTATTAAAGTGCCCCTGGAGATCTCAGATAGACTAACAGTTCTTGAAGTGGCAAAATACTTTGCAATCAATGTCTTTATTTAGAAAGCTTAGCTGCATTTGGAACACTATAAAATGTGCATTCAACCATATATTAGGAAAAATTTTATCACAGGAAATTTGTGTTAACTATATAAATTTAAAAAAAAACATGAACATATGCTCACATTAAGAAAAAGATGTTCAGGAGAGGGCAACAAGCTTATTCAAATTTTAATGGTAATATTTATGCAGTCTTTGTTGTGGCATCTGCTAATGCTTGCTAACAGAAAAGCTACAGTGCACTCCCTAGATTTGAGAAACATTTCGGGGACAGTTACTGCAAAGCTGAGCAAGCTAATTGGCTGTCAGACGATTAGCGTCTGTAGGCAAATACCAGTGATCCTCCCAAAACTTGGCCACTAAGACATGGTGATGGTGAAAAGAAGTTTCAGGCTGAAAAATGTATATTAGCCCATCTGACACTAAAAGCAGCCAAAGAATTCTTAAGCCCAGTGAAATCTGAACAAACTCCCCCCGCCCCCAATACTTTGTCATAGGAAGAGACATCAAAAAGTTCGTGAAGTTCTCCAAGTACAATAAACACAGTAAACATCAAAAGGCAGGATAGGGGAAACTCTAGACCAAGTCTAGCAACAGCATTTCCCATTCACTGGAGGAGGGAGAGTCAGCAAAGATCAAGGAATGTTCCACATTTGTCCTGTCCAATGTAGCAGGCAGGAACTACCAGAAGTTCAATAAATAACTCAGTTGTGATAGATACACTTCAAGTGCTCAATGACCACATGGCACATGTGACAATCACGCTGAAGAAGGCAATCAGAGACCATTTTCATAATTGCAGAAAGTTCAGCTGGGGATAGCAGCCTTTGATCTCAAGACACCTTGAAAGGATGCTGGATTTGTCAGCTTCTCTTACCCTAGGCGTTCCATTGCTTACTCATGATCACGATCCCCCTGCCTGTTCGGTGGAGGATCAGAGGTCAGGGAACTTGCTCTGTAAACTCTCCTGCTGGCAGGAATTCTGGGTCATATTCTGTCAGAGAGAAGCCCTCGTGTGCCACTTAGAAAGTAAAAGAGATAATTCATTGCTCCCTTTGGCAGCTGTTAGGGAGGGCAAGCCTTCCTCTAGACAATGGCTGTAAGATTCTGGGAGTGGCTTCCAGACATCCTCAACCTTCTCACCCACTAAGCACAAATCAAACGCTGTAGCATCTTTTGATCACTGCACTCCAAGACTGCCTGAACTGAAAGCAGTCTCCATGACCTTCACCTTCACAGACTTTCTTCCAATACATCTGTAAAACTTTAAATCCTTGGGGTTTATCCGTTCCTCCTTGAAATATGCACTCTTTCCTTGGCCAGAACCTGACATTTACGGTTAGTACAAGCCCCACTCACACAGGGCAGAGAGGTCAGTATGAATCTTTATCTACTGCCCACTTTTCTTGAACATCATTCCTTTCCTCTATTGCAAAGGATCCCTAATAACATTTATGCTAATTGCTGAACCTCTCAGGCAATTAAAGACTGTGATATTCACAAGTTGTAACCATCTCTGCCCTGTGGACTCTGGTTAGGGACTTTAATGGGCTGAGGAATCTGTCCTGGATTGCACATTCTGAAAGGGACCCTGCCCTTGTTAACTCCCTGCCCTCTAGGGTATGGACTGAAGTCTAATAGCACTTTATTGTTTATACCAAAGAACTAAAACATAAAATAGAGGCAACTAAATGAGAAAGTGACAGCTTCTTTTCATTGGAAAAAAAAAAATCGCGACCCTTCCATTTTTATCAGTGCTAAAGCCTAGTCTATACTAACATTTTTGATGGAAGCAGAGATTGTATCTGTGAATCACCAGTAGGGAACTCTGTCACTGAAACGCAGCAGAGAATACTCCGAAACTTAAACTGACTGTCCACGTATGTCAGTAATCCCACAGGCCTTAATAGCCCTGCTTGCCTAAGTTGCTCCAGGGAAGCAAGTGGTGCAATCAGAATAGCTTTTATCATATTTATATGGATTGTCCTTATTAGACTTATAAACTTTGTGATTATTACATGAGCTTAACTTTAACCAGATTCCTTTGTTACTGCCATAAAAGACATCATTTTTTTAAAAAAGGTTACATTATCACACTTGTTGGAAATCTGCAAATGGGAGCGGAAGTGAGCAGAAACAGAGAACAAGGTTACACACCTGCGGAAGGTGCTAAAGAAGTGAGAGGACAGAGCAGGTGTGACTGTTGGCAGCCTCAGGCTCATTTGCAGTTAAGAGGCCATCTATTTTTTGCAAGCATGAAGACTTTGCAACTTTTAAGGGGTCATGAGTAAATCACAGATTAGTGCAAATTAGTTCAATTTTGAGTTTTCACTCAGCACCTCAGTGAAATCAGCTATCCAGAGGAAAAGATCATGAAGCAGGGCACTTTGCTAGGTAGCTTTAGTCTTGTGGAGACATACTGCCTCCTAAAAAAAAAAGAAGAA